GCATTTTTTTTCTTGCTAATAGGCTTATGGAGTACAGCATCATCTTTCTTAATAAAGTAGAATCTGATCTTATTTTATTATAAAAAATTAATGTTTAAAATATTTATGGATAATATTTTTTTAATAGAATGTTTCAATGTGCCGATAGCCACACAGCTTCCATAGAGTGCCATTGTAATAAAGTAAAATATAATCCCATCAACACTGTCGATTGTTATTGCTTTTTCTCCAACCATTACCGATTTTATTAGCCTTTCTTTTAATTTAAATAATTAATATTATATATTCTATCTTCAATTTTTTCCCCCTAATATCTAAAATTGTTAAAATGAGAGAAATCATATGATTTATATTTTCTATCTTCAAATACTTTCATAATATATATAATATTATTAAAATGAGAGAAATTAAATTTTTTAGTTTAGTTTATAATAAAATACTAAATGAAAATTAAAATATTAAAAAACAAAACTTTGTGCTCTCTATCTTCTATGCTTAAATAGTAGCGTCCACATGATAAAAAATTTACTGTAGGCAAACCCCCTGCAAAATTATACTACTACCCCCATCCTCCCGAAAAATTGCGGCCTTTGGTCGGGATATTCAGCGTCTACACGACAGGATTTTTACACCCCTTTCAAAAACCTTCGCCTAATTATTGTTTTCACCTTTTTAATTTATTGATACTCTTTTCAGAGAATTTATCTAAGATAACTTAAATTAATCTATCTTTACTACCAACTATCGATATTTTGTGAATATAAAGAATTTATTTTTTAGATAATAAATTCAATTAAAACCTCCATTATTTACAATGAATTAATTATCATGGCATTATGAGCTTGCTGATATATCTAATCCTTTTAAATTACACATTTAAAAGGATAGCAGAAAGATTTATTTGGAAAACAATGTGTATGATTGTTTGCAATATATAGATTTGGTCGATGAATTGCATTATAATAATTCTATAATAAAAGTATTAATTTTTACAGCAATAAATTTTGTCCTATTTCATCTCGAAATTTAATAGATAACCCCCCAAAAAATTTATCCTACCCCCATTAAAACAGCCTATCCCATACCCTCCTCAAAAAATAGGATGCAAACTGTTCCTACCCCTACCGCTCATGTAGAGACTGGGGATATTTACCGACCCATTATGATTTAATAGTCCCATATTATTAATTCAAAAAATCTTATAATGAGTTACCATTTAACAATCATAAATAAACTCTTTCAGGGCTCATAATTATTTATGACTGGAATAACTAATCATTAGTTGGTAATAATCAACTAGATGTTACTAACCATGCGTTTATTTATTCAATATTTGATCTGAGCGAGCTGGATATTAGAACGATGGAAATGGTGTGGGGGGGGGGGGGGGTCGACTACGGTCGATGGTCCAGGAAGAAAATGTGGGCTGGGGAACCCTTTTTTGTCGAAATCTTGGTCATGGTTCCTTTATTATGCATGTATATCCAACATTTTAAACCAAGATAGCGACTTTCCATGTTACTTGAAATAAAAATGGATTTCTCTACATAGTAGTATAAGTGCGGGTTTTTCATTCTAATTAAATTTTAAAAAAGGAATGGAGATCCCCTCACCTTAATATAAGTGCGGCTTTTCTTCTAATTTATTTTAGGGAGCTGTACGGCATGGACCACAATAAAAGTGTGGATTTGTATTAAACAGGGTTAATATAGTGAATCATTTTGTTTTTATTCAATTTCAAATAAGTAAATTTATCATTCTATTTATAATCTTCGGTAAGTAAAATAATTTATCGCCGAAATAAGAAAATAAAATAATCGTCTTTAATTTCGTTTTTCATGGTCTATGTATCCAAAAGAAATCCAATAATCAAACAAAAAAAATTAATTTACTTCAATAATCGTATTATTATATCGTGAGGTTAGGTAACCTAGATGGAGATGTCCATATTGGGTATAAAAAAATATATCAAAAATGGTATTTATTTATACAATTGAACGATAAAAGGAAAAACAGAACACTGATTATATTTTTACAAATTTTGAAAACACAAAGAGAAAAAAATATATTTAGTATTGAAAAAAAGAAAATTAAAATACTATACGAGTTATATAGAAAAAAATATTTCGAGAGTAAATGCAACATGAAAGAATGAGAAATAAATATCTGAAATGTATTTATCAGTTATTTTTATCTTTGATTTACAAATATATTTTTACTTTACCCTACCCCCTTTGAATGCCTACTCCCTCCCCCAACTTTGGATGCCTACCCCATACCACCCTTTAAATGCTTACCCACCTTTAATTTCCCTACCCCCCCTCCTTAAAATGGAGGCAAATTGCTCCTACCCCCCTTCACTCATGTAGATACTGTATAAAGGCGTCTGGCTATTAAAAAATATATTAAAAGGGATTCTATTTTTGAATTTATAAAAATTTTAATTTTTCTACTAATAATAAAGACTATGATCTTTTAGATAATTAAATATCTGTTTCAATATCATTTTAATTGGATTTGGGATAGAAGTAGAACTCTCTTTGAAATAAATTATCATGTTCAAACCGAAAGAATATTCATTAGAAAAAGATCCCTTAATAACCTATAAACCCTTCCCAGCCCCCCCCCCCCAGAAAAAAGTTATCAATCACAAGTTTACAATTGTAATGGAAAAAGAATAACTTACATTATCAATATTCGATCCTCTACTACAAACTATTAAAAAATTGTTAATATAATTACCTTTTAAGAATATGAATTAAATTAATTCCCCTCATTTACAATAAATATATTATTTTCAGTTATGTATTGCGAGTGAATCTACGGGAAGCTAAATTCCTCTTCATTAATTATTTTTTGATTTTGGGCTCCCTTTCCAAAAATTTAATAATTCTTCAAAGGCGTTAATTTTAAACCACTTTTCTCTTTACAATTAATATAAAAATTTTATGGCCACGGTGTGGCGTTTAAAATTTTTAATATGCTATTTAATTATATTTATATATTAAATTATCATTTTTTAAATTTGAATTTAAAATATGAATTTCATTGGTATATAATTATATTTTCTAATTCAATTATATAAACATAATGTATATTATTAATATATTTATCTTAATGGATCAACACATTATATCCAATAATATACAATCATGAAACAACATCTAATAATCTCTAAAACTTTTTCAATGACGAATAGAATTTAGTTGATGAACCATTCGCATTACTAAATAAATTCAGAGTGACTGTAGAATTTAATTCCCCCCAAAAGGGATCAACGATTAATGATGGTTTATTATTTTGCAGTGATATAAAAATAAATATCAGAGACTTGCTGAGGTAAGATTGCAAGGTCCAGCCCGCCCCGGGTTTTATATTTTCAAACCCAGCCCGGCCAAACGTTTTAAATGAACCCTGTTTTAAATAAATTCAAATTTAGTTATATTGATATTTATGACTGATGCATATATATTTTTAGTGAAACTGACATTTATGACATGTAAAGATTAAATGTAATATTTTTTATTGTTATAAGCAATTTTGCTTTATTCTTTTTATAAAATTTTGTATTTAATATTAACTCTTAATGTTTTATATATTAATTAAAGGTTAAGTTCGAAAATGTCAAAGCTTAGAGATAAAACAGTTTTAAAATGTAGGTAAGATAATCAACTATTTATTTTCATGTTACCACTTAAGGTTAGAAATAATATATAAGTTATTAACAATTTTTCAATAATTTATTTCTACCACATAAATTATATTTTACAAAAAAAAATGGACAATATGCTTATATCATTTTATATATATAAACAATAATGTGTATCTTATATATAATACTTTATTTAATTTGTATATAAAATTTTTTTGTATATATAAAGATTAAAAAAACAAGTCAAAAGATATACGATTTAAATAAGATAATATAAATAAGATCAATTTGTGATATAAATAAGATTAATTTGTGATTAAAATAAGATTAATTAAAATTCATTTGCGATCAAAATGCTCGCGATAATTTCTTAAATATATATTCAAATTAAAATTTTTTGATGTTAATTTTTAAATTGGCGTATAATATGCCCTTTATAAATAGTGTGGATAATTATATTTGTCTGAAGCATAACTTCCCTGGCAACTATCTCCACCTCTGTTCCATCCCAATTTCTGTTGATGGGAAGAAAAGGATTTACATCATCTTTCTTGGAAATTACAGTCATCACTGTCAATTTATTATCTAAACTAGTAGAACACCCGTCAAAAATGACAGGGAATGAGATTTTTATTTATTTTTTGCGATAGATGTCATGCCAGGTTCAAGCTCACAATATTAGGAAGCATCCAAGATCTTATAATTATAAAAAAGTTTATCAAGCCCAGCTCAACCCTTAATAATTTGTAAAAGATATTCCCAAGTCAGGTGCAAGCTAATATTAATTTTGAAGTTCCAAGCCCTGTCCTACCCATTATAATTTTGAAAATTTTTTCCCGCCTCGGAGATAGTTAAATTTTTAATATCATCATATGAACGGGAAATATCTGATTTATCAATTAGTCTAATATGGAAAAAAAACATGTAAATTCCGTATTAAGGGAAACTAGGAAGGCCTGGGCAACCACTTATTAGAGAATCATGACAAATAAAATAAAAATAACCGACTCTTACTTTTTTGTAATATGATCAATTAAAATTATATCTAAAAAATATGTTGTTTATTATATAAGGTTATTGTTGTTTTTCAGATAAATTTAATGTATGTCTTGCATTTCTGAAATTATTTGTCAAAGAATTTGATAAGGGATATATATTTGTTTATGTTAAGTAAAAAAATGCTGTCTATTTAAATTACAAAATGCCATTAAACACTAATGAAACTTATATGCAAATTATTTATATATTTTTTAAGATATTTTTTTTTATTGACATATAAATTTAGGATAATTTTTTTAAAAAATAATGAGGAATATTTATTAAGTATTTGATAAAATTAAGAGCAAATCCTTGTTGAAATTTTAATTTTTGATGGAGAAAGTGACAAAATAAATCTGGGCGGTCATCTGGAGAGGAAATAATTAATGTAAAATTTTATATCATTTAGGGTTGTAGATGAAAGTAATGACGGATTACCAAAGCAGTGTACAAAACACAATACGTCCTGATAAAGATGATATGCCTATGCCTTGGGATACTGGTAAAAGAAGAACGCAAAACGATATTTCTGTCAATGTCAGCATTGATATCCCCCTTTAAAATAGAATCATGAACGACAATGTTAACTAAACCATAAAACGGTCGTAAGTATTGTTATAAAGGCCACGACAGAACTACTGCATAATTTTCCATTAGTAAAGTTGATGAAATTGGCTGTACTGTACATTCAAGTTTGAACACGCAAAACGATATTTCTGTCAATGTCAGCATTGGTATCCCCTTCTAAAATAGAATCATGAACGACAATGTTAACTCAACCGGATCGTAAGTATTGTTATAAAGGCCACGACAGAAATACTGCATATTTTTCCATTAATAAAGTTGATGAAATTGGTCGTACTGTACATTCAAGTTTGAACATTCCTCTAAATATTCATGAAAGTTTCTCAGAGAATCGGATAAAGTAATATTTATATTAACTCCTAGTGAAGTGAATGATAGTACAGAATTAAATGTTTATATTTGTTAAAAAATAGGCGGAGGTGGCATAGGAATTGTGGTAGTGGTGATAGAAATATCATTTGGAGAAATGGGTGAAAATAAAATAAACATAGATATAAAACATAAGATAAAAAAAACAAAATAAACCTCCAGATGAGTTCATTTCAAGCGTAGTTCTTTATTATTTTGTATACCAGTAACTCTAGAACTGGTAAGGGGTTTGTTTAATCGTCATTATTTTCTTTGCGTATCTTTAATAATAGATTCATCATGTTTTGTAGCAATGTGAGGGATTTTTCTTTATAAAATATTAATAATTTGTAATATTTGGTAAATAGACATATTTAATGTATATTAACATAAGACTAACATTTAACTTTGAAAATCCCAATTTAGGTTCAAGTCCACAATATTTGGAAAAAATTTCCAAGCATCCAAGATCTTAATAATTTAAAAATATTTTATCAAGCCCACCTCAATCCATAGTAATTTTGAAAATCAAGCCAATATTCATTTTGAGAAATATTTTTTAAACCAAGTCCAACCCATAATAATTTTGAAAAAATTTTCCCAAGTCTAGAGATATTAAATTTATAAATAAAGGGGAAATATCTGATTTACCAATTAGTCTATGGTTAACTCCGGGGTCCCTATTAAAATTAGGAGTATTCGGCTATATATGCAAAAAAAAATGTGAATTCGTAATAAGGGAAACTGGGAAAGCCTGGGCAACCCCTTATTAAAGAATCATGACAAAATCAGGTCTGCCCTAATATTATTATAAGAAATAACAAATCTTACCTCGTAATATTGGATTTATAAAATGCTTTTATAAAAAAATACTATTTAAAAATAAATTAAGACTGTTGGTATTTTATTGAGTAAATATATAAAATATTAATGATAATATGAATAATTGTAATATTTTGTAAATAAATATATTTAATGTATTACTTTGATATCCAATAATTGAATGAATATTATATTATATTTTACTAACTTATTGTTTAGAAATTAGGACTTCGATTATTTGGGGATATTTATTTTGCTCATTAAACAATCATCTCTTTATTTGTTTGGCAATGATAGATTAACCAAAATTTGTTCAGCTATTAAGAGGTTAAGATAGGGCCTGTTTTCTAAAATAAAATCAAAATATAAATATAAAAAATAATAATGCATTGAACCTGCATAGGAGACAATATTAGGAATAACTCTCTAGGAATTGTGGAATTATCTTCAGATGTAAAGCTAAAATAGTTTCTTTGTTTGGCAATGATAGATTAACCAAAATTTGTTAAGCTATTAAAAGGTTAAGATAGGGCCTGTTTTCTAAAATAAAAGCAAAATATAAATATAAATATAAAAAATAATAATGCATTGAACCTGCATAGGAGACAATATTAGGAATAACTCTCTAGGAATTGTGGAATTATCTTCAGATATTGGTAAAGCTAAAACAGTTTCTTTGTTTGGCAATGATAGATTAACCAAGATTTGTTCAGCTATTAAGAGGTTAAGATAGGGCCTGTTTTCTAAAATAAAAGCAAAATATAAATATAAAAAATAATAATGCATTGAACCTGCATAGGAAACAATATTAGGAATAACTCTCCAGGAATTGTGTGAATTATCTTCAGATATTGGTAAAGCTAAAACAGTTTCTTTGTTTGGCAATGATAGATTAACCAAGATTTGTTCAGCTATTAAGAGGTTAAGATAGGGCCTGTTTTCTAAAATAAAAGCAAAATATAAATATAAAAAATAATAATGCATTGAACCTGCATAGGAGACAATATTAGGAATAACTCTCCAGGAATTGTGGAATTATCTTCAGATATTGGTAAAGCTAAAACAGTTTCTTTGTTTGGCAATGATAGATTAACCAAAATTTGTTCAGCTATTAAGAAGTTAAGATAGGCCTGTTTTCTAAAATAAAAACAAAATATAAATATAAAAATAATAATGCACTGTACTTGCATAGGAGACAATATTAGGATTAACTTTCTAGGAATTGTGTGATTATCTTCAGATATTGGTAAAGCTAAAACAGTTTATTTGTTTGGCAATGATAGATTAACCAAAATTTGTTCAGATATTAAGAGGTTAAGATAGGGCCTGTTTTCTAAAATAAAAGCAAAATATAAATATAAAAAATAATAATGCATTGAACCTGCATAGGAGACAATATTAGGAATAACTCTCTAGGAATTGTGGAATTATCTTCAGATGTAAAGCTAAAACAGTTTCTTTGTTTGGCAATGATAGATTAACCAAAATTTGTTAAGCTATTAAGAGGTTAAGATAGGGCCTGTTTTCTAAAATAAAAGCAAAATATAAATATTAAAAATAATAATGCATTGAACCTGCATAGGAGACAATATTAGGAATAACTCTCTAGGAATTGTGGAATTATCTTCAGATATTGGTAAAGCTAAAACAGTTTCTTTGTTTGGCAATGATAGATTAACCAAGATTTGTTCAGCTATTAAGAGGTTAAGATATGACCTGTTTTCTAAAATAAAAGAATATAAATATAAAAAATAATAATGCACTGAACCTGCATAGGAGACAATATTAGGATTAACTCTCTAGGAATTGTGGGTATATTTACAGATATTGGTAAAGCTAAAACAGTTTTTTTGTTTGGCAATGATAGATTAACCAAAATTTGTTCAGCTATTAAGAGGTTAGGATATGGCCTGTTTTCTAAAATAAAAGGAAAATATAAATATAAAAATAATAATTCACTGTACTTACATAGGAGACAATTTTAAGATTAACTCTTCTAGGAATTGTGGGATTATCTTCAGATATTGGTAAAGCTAAAACAGATGTAATCTAAAATGTAAATTTATCGTGTTTTAAAAAATTTATTTACTTTAAAAAAAAAAATACGTACCGATGACATGACGTAGCGATCACATGACGTAGCGATAACATGACGTAGCGATGACATGAAGTCACGATAACGTAGTGAGGACATCGGAAAATTATAATATAGATAATATGCATAATTAAATAATAATACAAATTTACACCTTTCTCAATAAACAGGCCTATTTTGTCAATTACAGCTGGTACATTAGGAATATGGGGCATAACTAATAATTTAAAATACAATTAATATCAATTTATAAAAATATTACTGTTACCTCGATGGCTACCAGGCTCTACCATCTTCGTTTCATCATTTAATATCTTAACCCTCTGCACCATCTAAAAAATACGTATAATATTGAATATTTTATATTTTTGGTCTTCACAATTCTCATCCTCTTCTTCAATAATCGTGTTGAGTAATTTTGAGACTAAATATTTAAAAAAAAATTAATGTGAGTTTTCAAAAATAAGACCTTTCAAGTGATTTTCATGGGCATTTAACTCCTCATCATAACTCACTACCTCAGAGTTTTCATCATCTAAAAAATATGTATATTACTAAGTAATTAAGACAATTATATACTTTTTTGCAAAGTAATGTTTTATATTACATATATTTGCTTTGCTCTTTAAAATTCTACCACTAGCATTCATGAGCTCAACATTGCCTAAATATTAAAGATAATTTTATAATAATGATAAATTTTACTTTTAAGAGTCCTAACTATTTTATAAGGACCCATCCAAGGCCTGGTCATTTTAACGCCTTTCCTATCAGTCCAACGGCTGTTCCAGATAAGCACTTGATCATTAACTAAATAATGATTATCCGTACCAGCATTACGACTTCTATAATCGCTCTGCTGTTTAAGCTGAGCAAGATCTATATTACCCGCCTATCTCATGAATATCATTTATCCTGATCTTGAAAACAAGATTCCAAATCTGCTTCAGGTACATTATCAGGATCTAAATCCTCTTTCTCGTCAACCATAAATAGAGACATAATATATAGTATATGATTTAAAAATGATATATCATACATCAGCTCATAGGGTGTAAATTTCGATGATTCACTGAGAGACGTGTTATAGGCAAATATTATGCCAGGCAAGGCATCTGTCCAACTAATTAATAATTCTTAATAAACTTTAGTAATGCATTTTGGATGATCCTATTCACTCTTTCAAACATGTCATTTGTTTGAGGGTGATAATTGATAAGCACTTGTCAATCTGCATGTCTTTACGAGTTTGTGATAACTCACGTCCTTGATCATTAATTTGAATCTAAAATATAATATTAATATTTTATTACCAAATTTATTAAACTTTTGCCTTACCAGTGTACATCAGTGGCGTCGCTAGGAGGGGGGGGCGCAGGGGCTCGAGCCCCATGAAAAATTTGAATAGCGCCCTGAAGCAAAAAAATTTTTTTAATGGCTCCTTAATATCCCCTTGAACTAAAAATAAATTTTTTTGATTGCCCACTGAATGATTTCTTTTATAATTCTATTGAGTAATATATAGATTTAATTTTATAATTTAAAAATTAATAAGTCTCTCTAAATTATTCTTAAATGAATACTATTTTAATTATTAGATTAAATTAATAATAATACTTTCACTATGTCAGCTTGCAATCAAATTATGTGTTAAAAAAGAATATTAATATCCACTAAATATTAAATTAGCATTAATAGTTAAAGCTATATTTACTTTTATTATTTAATTTATAATATAACCCTAAATAAATATTAATTGAAAATTAATAAATTTAATATTTTAATTAGCCGAGTTCAAAATCCCTAATTAACTATATTATTGATATTTAAATTTAATTAACATGCTTCTTCTTAAAATTATTTTCAAGGTCCAAATCCAAATAAGTATAAGAGATTTATTTATAAAAAGTAAGTAAACATATAGATTATAATCTCTATTAGATATAATTGCTTGTAAGATATTAGGTTAAATACCACTTTTACAGACGTATTTGACATTTATATAATATATTACAGTTAATATTTTAATTAATTTTTCTAATAAATGCTTTTGATAATAAATATAAGCAATAAATTGCTTTTAAATATTTAACGCTATCTATTTATTTAGAAATATGTTTATAAATTTAACATCTTATTATTCATCCCACAATGGATGTAATAAATTAGATATCTTTTCTTCTCATTTTTTACGTTTATTTAGAAAAGCTATTTTTTTCTTCTTTGAAAAACAGTTTTGATTAAAATTTTTAATACGAATATATTTTAGATATTATTACAAACTACTATTAATTTAAGATATAATATACCAACTAGAGGTGGAGCGACAATAATATATAAAATCTTAATTAATTTCTTTTATCATATCATATCACTCTTGTTCTTATTTTATAGTTACAAAATGTCACATTTCTAATATGCCATCTCTGCCTTGTAAATAACTTAAGGCTTCAATACATTTACATAGTTTCTTCTAAAGTTTTTTAGTGTTTTTGTTTTATCAATTTATCTAGAATAATAAATTCTGATATAAGTTAATATAGTGAGTGTCTTGGCTATGACTGCAAATTAACCAGCATCTATTATTTGTGTGGTTATGTAATTTAAGATTATTATTACAGCTGCTGAGAGCATATGATTGCATATTTTATAAGCAATAATGGTCAACTTGTAGTAGTTTATATATCATTCAAAATGGAAGATAATCTTTTAGAAATTTAATATCTCACAATTTTTTTCTCAATTACTTATCTAGCTACCATCATGTCATTTAAGAGGAAGCTCTAATCACTATATAGTTTTATGATTTAGATTGGTCGTTTATATTCTCTTCTCTGAGAATTGTTGATTTGGTTAGGCCTATAAATTTTTCCTTATTATTCCATTCTATAAAACATTGTCTAATTCTTGACCTTTTGTTAATGTAAGTTGTTAATTTTATAATATGTAGTTTTTAAAAACCATTGTTAATTGAGGCATATGTATGAATTAATTAACCTTTTTTCACTTGTTATTCTTTAGACGCAATTTTTTTTATATCAGCAATCGAATATATTTTATACTGTAATAAATAGATTTTGTATTAAAAAATAATATTTTTAAAAATGTCTTAATGTTAGTTTATTTTGTATGCATAATATAATAAATGACAAAATATGAAATTCAGAAAAATTAATCAGTTAGCAAATATTTAAAAAGTATCATATATTAATATAAAACCCGGCCGAAGGCCCGGAAATGGGGGTATGGGGGGCTTCTCCCTTCTATAAAAATTTTTTTTAGTTGAGCCCCCTGAGATAGTAAAGGCTAGCGAGCCCCTGGTGTACATAGTACCGAGTAGAGGAAACGCGATACCGATTTCGCTGTTTTATCTTTTAGACATGGCTACAATATATTTATCAACTGCTATAGCAATGTATTTATAGCCATCCTCACTTTCAGGCAAAACACTTAAATCAAACCTATTTGTGTCCATACCTTTTGTAAAATAAAAGATTATTGTTATATTATATACTCCATTAGGAAGGGAAACAAAAAATTTTAGTTAGCTAAAAATAGAAATTAAGTGTCGTAATTTTTAAAGAGATCAGACCTATCCGGGATCATAACGGGTTTTAAAGGGATAACTAAAAAAATTAGGGTTTTAAGTTAAGGAATGATATGGTATTATCACGTTTTAATCGTGATAAAGAGGAATCTTATTTTTAAAAGCATTTACGCGCGCTTTGTTTTATTTCTTTTTAATTTTATTATTATCTATAAATTTTCAATGTTGTATTTTTGGCCTTATGAAATAAAATATGTCTAATATAGGGTATCAATCGATAGCTGATCTATTCAACTAGAGGTCAAACTCTCCCCCTTAATGAGCGGATCTAGGTCTTGGGGGGTCAGGAATATTTTTATCATAGCAAAATATCGATATGGGTATCAAGTAATAGTTAATTTAAATATCTTTTGAATGAAAGTCTTCATTCTGGGTCTTGATGGGTATGACTTGGTCTGGGGAGGTGAATAAAGGGGGGGGGGGCAAAAAATATTTTTTTTTGATATGGGCATCAAATAAAAGATAATTAAAATATTTTTTATTGTAATAATAACAATCTCTCATAGCGGGCGGGTCTAGGTCTTGAGGGAGGAGGGGGGGGGGGTCAGAATAATTTTTATCATTACAAAATATCGATATGGGTATCAAATAAAACCTAATTTAAATATCTTTTGATTAAAAGTATTCATTCTTGGTCTTGATGGGCAGGACTTGGTCTGGGGGGGGGGGTGAGGGTGGTAATAAAAAGATATTGATATGGGTATCAAATAAAAGGTAATTAAAATATTTTTTTTATTGTAAAAGTAATTAAAATACTTTTTTATTGTAATAATAATAATCACTCAAAGTGGGCGGGTTTAGGACCTGGAGGGGTCAGGAATATTTTTCAACATAGAATATCGATATGGGTATTAAATAAAAGGTAATAAAATATCTTTAGATTTTAATAATAATCATCACTCTAAGTGAGTGGGTTTAGGTTTTGGTGTTCAGGAATATTTTTATAAACACAAAATAACGATATGTGTATCAAATAAATGGAAATAGAAAATCTTTTGATTGTAATAATAATCATCACTATAATTGACGGGTCTAGGTTTGAGGTCAGGAATATTTTTATCAACACAAAATAACGATATGGGTATAAAATAAAAGTTTATTAATATATTTAAATGTATTAATTATACTCTAAGTAGGCGTGAGGTCTTAGGTGATCAGGAATATTTTTATATACACAAAAATAGGAATTAAATAAAAGTTAATTTAAATATTTTGAATGAAGTATTTAATCGTATCTTAAAGGGCTGGATTTGATTTGGGAATAAGGGGGGGGGGGGGATAAAAATAAAAATTGATATGTGTATCAAATAAAAAGTATTAAAAAATCTTTTGATTATTTTAATTTTATCTTAGTAAGCGGGCGGGTTAAGATGCCATGAATATTATTATTAACACAAAACATCAACATAGGTATCAAATAAAAGTTAAATAAAACATATTTGGACTTCAATATTAAATATCATTATAAGTAGGGAACATATATAGTCATAGTCAATGCTTTTTAAAAATTCATTATAACCTTATGATAAAATTATTTTCTCGCAACTAATCTAATATGTGATATTTTTAAATCTCAAAATTTCTGGAGGCTATATTTGAAACCATCAATTCCCATATTTCACAATGACATTATAAATTTTGAAATTATTCCAGTATAAATTATTACACTTCTTTACAAGTAAATCATTCCTATTATTAAATTTTTTTTCAAGACATATATAAACAACACATATTTTATTTGATTTTAATAATTGAAATTTAAAATATAATTTTGAACAATTATTTATTATTTACGCAAATAATATTTACGTGACATTATGTCACTATAAATAATGCCATTTTTAAAATATTGGTATCTCTTATTGTTGCAACTTTTTTGGAAATTGCAAAT